CTTTCCAGGACAAATCTGTTTGTTTTCCTAGCAGAGAAGAATTCCACTCCATGGCAGTTGATCAATCAGGGTGGGATTTACCACACGTGGGGGTTGTTTGTTTGTTAAAAAACCACTCAAGCGGGTGGGGTGGGGTTAACTGCACTTTACCAGACTCAGAGTCTCTGATAACTGGTCCTTTCACCGAGGCTGTAAATCTTTGTGAAAGGAGATTTTTCTTATTTCTCTGACAGAGTGGCTGGTGGATTTGAACTGCTGACCGTGTGTTTAGCAGCCCATTATAGTAATTGGGAACTGTTAATTGGTCAGTGCTTTTCGGGTTTTTTTAAGAGTGGAACAACTGGATAAGTAATATGCTGACTTTAATTAAGAAATAAAACATCCCTGACACCTGTATAAAAAAACTTTTAATTTTTTTCCTCCCTTGAAGAAGGGATATTCATAAAATAGTTTTGCACTATCTTGAGTAAGTGCTTCTTCCCTACTCATTCGTCTTTGTATGTAAAGTGTTGGATAGTGCACCACAGGTAATGTGCTTGGCTGCCAGCCTAAAGGGTGGAGGTTTGAGTCCATCCACAGGTACCACAGAAGACGTGCCTCACCTTCTACTTCACACAGCCGCAGCTGCATACCCTACACAGCACAGTTCTGCCCTCACGCACACGGGGTCACCATGACTCAGAACTGACTCAACAGCTCCTTAAATGCAGCTTCATTGCTTTCCTCACCAGGAGCTACTGCCTTAATGCTTGGGACGAAAGAAATCCAACCTAATCAGCTGACTAAGAACCCATTAAAGGTGACAGAAATGCAAGATAGCCAACAATCCTCTGGACCTTACTTAATAGTAAAACCAATAGACTGAGAAGTCTCACTGCCCTAGGAACAGGCAATAAAATGAATTTCATGTCAACTAGAAAGAGTAGGAATTTTTGTGTAGCTTGTCAGGGTAAATAAACGAAATCTCTTTGAAGATTCCTGAGAACTCTTACTTGACTTATACAGTTTTCAGGCCTCCTTTTGCAAGTAACCAAAACAGGTTTATATTGGTTTAAACATTAAATGGCTTTATTAATTTATACAATTAAAAAATGCAGAATTTGGGTAGATACAACTGATTGAGCAGGCTTAACAGTATCATCAAGACCCAGTTTCTTTGCTCATGCTGTCCACTTGGTTTCTTTTGTTGTGGGATACGCAGAGTGATGAGCTCCCTCACCTCCCAGAACAGCTTCTATAGCAACTGGAGCTTCTGTAGCAACTGGAGACACTTGTTTTTTCATTAATGTCCTGCTGTGAGACATGAACAGAAGACCCTAGCTTTACTTTAATTGTACTGCCCAGAGATTTTTAACAAGGGATTGGGACCACCTTTATTATTGTAGAGGCCATGCTTCGAGCTGGCAGGAAGAGCTCTTACATGACTATTAAACAGTGTCACTTTATTCCATACTTGCATCCTATTCTCCCCCATGGTATGGAATAAAGTGACATAGGACGCAAGTTAGAGAATCACAGTTAGCCCACTGTTCCCTTATGTAATGATGCTGAGTGAAATATCTCAGTCACAAAAGGACAAACACTACATGGTGCCACTGTTGTAGAATGGGACTGACATCAGGGTTGGGGTGAGACTGAGAAAAACTGGATGAATTATGTATACTTCATTGAAACAGATGAGGGAGAGAATAGTTTAAAAGCAATAGGGTATTATGGTTATCTCAGGAGTCCAGAATGAAGATTGCATAGTGGAATGGACGGGGGGAGAAATGTATACCAATGAAGGAATTTTTCTTTTACTTTTCAAAGAGAGGAGCAAATTGGGGGGAAGGGGTGGGCAGGGAGAAAAGTGCAACAATGAATGGAAATCCAAAATCTCTGTAAATGTTCATTAAAATTAGTAAAATTTAAAAAAAAATAATAAAGTTTTTTAGAAAAATGCATGGAAGGGCTAAGCAAGTACATGGTTCAGGGATGGGGAAATGAGCACCACTGCTACTCAGTTCTTAACGTGTGTTAAATTGGTTACGTTGTGAATGACAAGTCAGTTCCATAATTTATCTCTTTCCAATGCCAGGGACAAGACCCACCAGCCCCTCCTGTCGACTAACTGTGTGTTATGGGAAGTGAAAATAGCTAAAATACCTTGCACGACCAAATGAACGAAGATGACCGGAGTACTCTTAAACTCATTAGACCTGTTTTAACGTTTGCATCTGCGATATGGGATACTGTTTTCACAAGCTTTTAGAAATTTCACTTGCAAGCTTATTTTTGCTTCTTGTGTTATCACCATTCCTATTTACAGTATATTTGAGTAAATGATATTAAAAATAAAGTTACATGGGGCTTTTTTGATTGTCCTAACCCTAAACATTCCATCCATTCTGTTTAACTGTGATCATACTTTTCTTTTTTGGTGGTGATTTATGGCTTGATTGAAAGGAAATTTGAAATTTCTGCATTTAAATATTTTAGATAGTTTTGATAGGCTTTAATTCTTTTTTTTGGTCTTTATATAAGATATTTATGAAGTTATTTGGGCTTATCTGAGATTGTATGAAAGAAAATTAGAACCATTCTGTATTTACATTTGCCATGATAATTTATTTGTGGGTAGCTCTTTACTCTTCTTGGGACTGTGATGACCATTTAAACATTTTACAAATTATAATTGAACTCTGTATCACCCACTATATCTGGTTTAATATGGCTAGAAGAAATGAAGAAGTTGCCTACCCAACTTGTTTTTTTACTCCCATTTCAAAATGTTGAATGTTAAGAAAACTTGAAATAAACATGATTGGTGATTGTGGTGGATGTTGAACAATCTGTTCTGTGGCTCGTGGAATCCACTGCATTAGCCTTAGGAGTGTTCGGGAAAGGAAGAAGAACAAATAGCTCTTTCTGCCTTTGCCGGGTATAAACCACATGGTCATCATTTAAGCTGTAATTTATTGTTAAAACTAGTGCCTCTCAGGACGCTGCTTTCTCTCTTAACACTTCCCTGTTGGAATGAAACTTTCCTGAAGCCTGTTTCAGTTACTGACACTTAAATGCCCAGTACTTTGTTATTTGAAAAAAAAAATTTTTTTTAAGTCTCTCATTAATTGTTTTGACTTTTTAAAACATCTTAATGAATTCTTGGTTTGTTCCACAAGAAAAGGAAGAAAAATAGCATTAGATTAAGTATCTTTCTCTCATCCCTTATCTCATTTCTCTCATGGTCACTGGATGGATTGGGTCAAGGATAAATATTAATATAAGTAAAGTTTTTAAATGTATGTAAAAGTGAAAGTTGAACTGCTTTGCTCAGTTTGAAAAAAGAAACCGAATACAAATGGCACGTACACACAAACAAATGTCTGCATGACCTATTGTGGAAATTTTCCTAGCAAGCTATGCAGATGACTTATGTGGGCCAGAAGATCTTTTGCTATGAATATAAGGAATGTCATCCCTAGATTAGTCTATCTTTTCATTGTTTAGATCTGAGAAATTACTTGTATGAATTGAATAAATTTCTCTTTATCAATGTACTGTTTAATAGAGTCGCTGACATACTCCTGGAGTATTTTTTCCTTCACTCTCACCATATTCTAGGACGTCATTTTATTACATAATCCAGTACTGACTGCTACTTCCTCTTACTATATCTTGGCTTTGTGCTCACCTCCTTGAAATAATTACTTGGGCTGATAGAGTGGTAACATAACACAGGTAAGTCAGAAACTGGATAAATGAACACCACAAAATAAAGGTTTTCCTCTCACTGTGACCTGCTAGAAGCCTTCCCAGCTCTGTAGCTGGAAACACATTTAATACAGAAAGGACAGGGACAGTATGAAATGGAGCTCAATTCAGATAGCATTTCACATTTCTGCCTTTGTACTCTGAACTTTAAAGACTTTCCCATACATCCTAACAATCTGTCCATTAAGCTGCTAGTCTTACAGTCTCTAAACTGCTAGGAAGCCAGTCTTTTTAAAACAGATACTGATGTGTATACTGAAATCTACAGCTCACAAATTGGCTTTAGTTTCAGAAGTTGCCATAACAGGGAAAGAGAGTGCCTGGTATTTTTTCTGGAGACCTGAAATCTGGATTATTGCTCAGCCTTCATTTCTGTCGCATATACTTAAATGGCATCCTGAATTTCAGCCTTTTCCTGTAGGAACCTACTTGCTTAGTAACTAAAGTTTCAGTGAAGTGTTCAGTTGTGTTTTTTTGCTGACAAATTTTCCCTGCATTCCTAAAAATGATAAGTGTATTGTACATAAGGCATCCTTGTTAACCTGAGACTGTGTGTTATTCTGTTTAATTCCTAAAACCTACTTGTGGCCTTTTTATTGAGGACACTATTAAATTATTATCTGGATTACAAACATTCATCTGAACTATGGGTCCCATCATTTTAATCTAGAACAAAGATACAACTATAGGTCTTAAATGATCTACAAATGTCATTTAGCCTTTGAGTCATTTCATGTCCTTTTATGCAAAACAGTGTTGTAGATTTTTTTTCTCTGTAGAAAAGAGTAACATTGAAAATGCTAAAGATGTTATCATATAACTATCCATCCACTATTCCATAGTCAACAGGTAGTATTTTATAACCTACAGAGATTTTTCTGAAGGAACTGTCAAGTACAGCTGGTCAGTGATTACTTTTAGTGTCTTTGTGGTTATATACTGTGATAATGTTTATGGAATTACAAATATCTTAACATTTTCAAAAGGAACAAGCAAGATTACCATTTAGAATCAAAGTCTGTCACTTAAAATGAGTATGTGCTAAAATTTGATCAGCTCAGTTTTAAGACACAAAACACCAACTTGGAGGAAGAGAGTTTACAGTTAATGATGGAATTTTTATTGCTGCACAACTCGGCTTAGTGTTAACATTATAATATTTCTAAATAAAAAAAAATCATATGTATCTGTTACCATGTCTATTTTGCTTTGTAAAAAGCAAAAGCGGTTTTGTGGTATACAAAATGTTAATTACTGTTTTTAAATGTTTAAATCATGCCAAACAAATCATGTGTGTGCCATCCAGGGTTTATTGTTAATATTTTCTTGAGTACTTGGATTGGGATAAAGGGCTTGTACTATGCACTTTTTACTAATGAATAAATAGAAATGTTAGTAACACTCTGTTTTCCGTTTGGCTTTTGTGGGAAGAGACACAGAAATCTTTTGCTCAGTGAAATGTTAACGTCCTTTGTTAAACAGCTAGTCTGCAAAACTTCCTAACCCACATGGAAGCTTTTCCTAACAGAGAACTTTGACATTTCAAGAAAAATATTTGCATAGTAGCAGTTAAGGTGAGAAACAGAGATTGTTAGCCCCAGGAAATCAGATTGCAGTTACATTTCTATGGTGATTATGTGGGGGGTTTTTTCTTCCTAGAACACAGGGACAATTAGATTTTTGTTTTGAAGGAATAACACCCCTTCATAGTCATTTGTTTGGGCAGGCATATATTCCCCCAAAATGTTTAAACATGTAAATTGAAACACACAAATGGAAATGTGTTTTTACGTTGTGACCTGTAATGTGCCCAGACATTAACATAAATAAAGATTATTGTACTGACATGTTGTAAAAATGGTTAAATTGCTCTGGCATGACTGTGTCAGTTTATGTGATGTAAATAAACAAGTCAAGTGTTCTTTAAAATAACAGCTATTTGTGAAAAAAGGCGTTTTCCTGGAGGCATTAATGTTTTCAATCTAAAGTTTATCGTATGTTACATATACATGTGTATGGCTGTCTCACTCCCAAGTAAAATGACCAGCTTTTGTTAAATGATTCTGCATTGCTAGTTTTCTTCTCTGAAAACAGAAATCGAGTAAGTTCTTTGCTTTCAATCTTTCACATGATGGTTTTCTCAGTTAAAGATCTCAATTTGTAGAAGTTTCCCCTACTCCTCCCCAAATATATGTTCCATAGATACTAACCGTGATTGTCTTTCAACTCAGATTTTATTAAACAAGCTATCAGTGTGACCTCTTGTGAGATTGAGGGAAGCCAACTGTGTTCAACAAACATTTCAGGAAGTGTTTGTTTGCTTATTGTTTAACTGTTTAGGTCTGCCCTAAAGGGGATACTTACTATTCAGGATTAGATTTCAGAAACCATTTAAATCACCAAGAGGATGAAGATTTGTTGAAAGGTGCTGAACGGCCAGTGTCTAAGATGTAGGGAATAGTCTGTGTAGGGATTAAGAACAGTATGTGTACTTTTAAGAATGAAGCAACTTTCATGTCAATACTTAATTACTTGAAGTCAAGTCTCAAAAAACTCATTGCTGTCAAGTCTGAACCGACTCGGCTGACCCTGCAGCGGGTTTTCAGAGGCTATTGGCAGCAGCATGACAGATGGAGAAGAGATTGAGATTGTTAACATTTTCAGCTAGCTTGGTTCTACAGTCAAGCACCCTTGACACCAGCAGTCAAAAAATCGAAAAACGATTTGGATTAGGAAAATCTGCTGTCAGAGATCTCTCCAGAGTGCTGAGAAGCAACGACGTCAGTCTAGAGACTAAAGTGCGCCTGATCAAGGCCCTGGTCTTTGCAATTACTTAATATGCATCAGAGAGCTGGACAATGACCAAAGATGACAAAAGAATTAGTGCCTTTGATTTGTGGTGCTAGAGAGGAGTTTTGAACATACCATGGACCACCAAGAGAACTAACAAGTCTGTCCTTTAAAGGGTGAAAACAAGCTGCTTCTTGGAGGCAATGATTTTGGATTCTGTCTCACATACTTTGGGCATATATAGCCAGGAGAGACCAGTTTTTGGAGAAGGATATCGTGCTTGGAAGGATGGAGGAACGGGACAGGAGAGAAACCCAGATGAATAGGATTGACACAGTAACTGGGGTAATGAACGCTGGTGTGTCGACAATAGTGAGACTGGCTTAGGATAGAGCAGGGCTCAGAGGTATTGTGTTTAGGGTGACTAGGAGTCATAGCTTGGCACAAATTGCATGGGGGGAGATTATCCATTTTTCTCCCAAAGAATGACTGGTGGATTCAAACTGTGTGGCTTTGGGTTGGCAGCGCAAATTCTTGCCCAGTAGGCCCACAGGCCTTACCAAAAAT